ATACTTATCTGAGCATCTGCCTTTCTCACTGAAAGATCACCTTAACCAGAAGATTGTGGACTTCATAAGGGATCTGATAATTGCTTTTTGAGAAATGCCTTCGGCTTTTGGCTGTTCTCGTGTAATCAACCCTTGGTGCCAACGTGGCCGACGCCAAGATCTTTTTGTAATTTATGCTGGTTGCAGTGCCGGTGAAGATTAAGAATCGGGCGGCCACTGTAGGGGCTTGACGCGTCTCAAATGCGTATACGCCTTCCGGCACTGACGCATACGTCGCGCTGAGGATCACGTAATAGCAGCTTTCAAGGCGATAGAACACGAGGATATTCAGCTTCGAGGCCAACCAGTCATAGGTGCCTATAAACTTCCCAATCACCCAAAAGACTTACCACAAGCTGACGTTGACTGGTTTCCTGTAAAGGTCGATACCGTCGAGGGGGATACGTACACACAGTTGAACAGACTACCCAGGATAGCTTCCCGAGTTGTGTAAACGCTGAACAGAGCTGTTCGATTACTATGGCAGTTCGACTGTCGATACCGACGATATTCATCATGTGCTTCGCAGCCCCACAGAGGGAGGGTCCATTCACCTGCGCCAATATTCTCTATTGGTAGTTCTGACATTGAGCGTCAGCACGGCAGTGGTATGAGGATCGGAAGTCAACCTTAGCGCCGACAATATACATCATCGGGGCTTATTTGACCATCCAGCTGAACTGAACCTCGCAACCGGTGACTGGTGCCGCCATTTAAGTATCTAAGTGCGACTCCGCAAACGTTGTGATATCCGGCTTCCTTGTTCAAGGCCAATACCTTAAGCCCATCCACTCTCGCAGCGAGCCGTTTCAGACTCGCTGACCTACGGCCACTTAACCGCCTTCCGATCAGACACACGCGTGCGTACGTCTAGATAATTGCAGCTGTCCAAACGCCATTTGAACACGCTACCCTATGACCGATGCAACAAGGGGCCACTCGGGAAATGCAACACACACACACCAGTTGGTCAACACTTGGGCTTGTTCCACAAAACAAGTAAAACGTCTGCCACTGCTTTCTCACCCCCTGTCTTTTAGGCATAATTGAACGCAGTCAACAGTAGCCATGGCTTTGCCAGTGGCCACTGCTGCCTGAGACAGTAATACGGAGTTCTGTTCTGCATTTCCTACAACTCGGGATTTGACCTGGTGGCTTTAGCGTTCTGTGTCCAAACACTGCTTGGACGGTAAAACCCCTATAAGTACGTGCAGGGCCCAACTGACCTTCGAGCTCCAGGCTGGTTCTCACAACGTGATTTCCCCTAAGTTACTCTACTTCCTTTCTAAAGAACTACCGGCGATATTTCTGTGATTAGTAAGGGAGGGAAAGGGTGAGAGTAAAAACGCCCTAATTGGCCTTGAGTCAGGACAGTACCCATTGAAGGGAGGAAATGTGAGAAATGCCACTCGCTGTGAATCATACATAATTCCCTCGCGTGACTTTTCTCTTCTCACGGGGTATCTTGCTAGTCTATAAGCCAGTACAACTCGTACTAGGTGCTGTTAGCTCTTTCACTCTATTTTCTGCTGTGTGTTTTGCATTTTAATTGATTTATCGAATCACACGAGTACTGTCACAATTAATTTCAGGTCCATGGCGGCCCCGATCGTTTCACCGGCCTGTTCAAGACGAAGGAAGCCTGAGATCTGCTTCACAAAAGAACTTTTTCGTCCCCGTAACCGGCGGTCTTGTTCAGGTATCGACACGCAATTCGCTCGCCATTCTTTTCCCCACTTCCTCCCCTCCCCGCTTTGTATGCCTTTATGCACTTTTCTGTGGTTCGAAACTGCTTTGTAGATTGAAACAGCAGACCAGGCTGCGATTCTTGGCCTGCCGCGTGGCAGGTACAGGATGCGGCTACCCCCGGACTTCGTA